TTAGCTCTTGGTTGAAACATCTGTATGGTTAAGATATGAGAACTGTATTTTGTGCCTACTTCTTGTGGCAGAGAAGAGCCCAGAAATTCTGGAGGACATTGAATGTCTTACATCAAGGTATAAAAGCATGGAGTTGTGATGCTTTGGGGTTTTTTTTAGTTTAATTCCATGTCCCATGACTTTGCATCAAATAAAAATGTAAGTGGTGGTTGATTGACCACACAAACAGTTCAAATAGAAGAACTTAAGTGCTACCTGCATTAGTAAATAACACTTCTTACTGCGGTTAGCTTAATGAAATTAAAAAATGACTGGGTTGGTTTTTTTTCGTGTAAAATGTTCAGGTTTTGTTTGGTTTCATGTGGTTGCAGGCATTCGTATTAAAAGAAGAAAAAAGAGCTTCCTGTTCACATTATCTGGCTTTGCAACTTTTTTTTAAATAAAAAAGAAATTGCCATTAAATGTGTGTCTTATATTTAAAATGTGTGTAGTTAATGATCTCAACTATTGTGTTTGGCCTGCATGGGTCTTGGTGAGAATGAGGCTGGCTGCTTCCTCTGGAAAGAGGGAACTTACACAGTTTGCCAACACAGCAGCGAGTATGTAATTTACAAAGACTGCAAAATCTGTATTAGATCAGCTGGATAGGCTTTCTTGTTCTCCTCACTCACTGTAGTACCTTGAGGCAGAAAATGAACCTTGGAATTAGATCAAGAATTCTGACTTCAGCTTGAACTTTTGGAGTGGTCTTTGATTTATCTCCACATGCTTATAATGCAAATATTAACTTGCTAACAATGTCTGGATATGTACCAGGTCAATCTGATTAGTTTTAACTTACATCTGTCACTGGCAACCAAGCTGACAACCAGCTATGTTATTTTCGTATGTAAGAAAATATATGCTTATGTCAGTATTTAGAAGGCTTTGATTGGTTTAGTAGTAGCACATTTAAGTTTTTGGAAGAAATAAAAGCTAGTCTGAGGAAAAACTGCATCTTCAACATTTAGGCTTAGGAGGAAACTTTGGTTGTGTGGATAAGGACTTTGTATCATTGTTGACATTGCAACTGTGCAAGATAGTTCTTGAAGCGTTCTTGAAGAATTTTATGAAGTTTTAGCCCCCTCTCAAACTAAGGCAGTAAAGTTGCAACCTGGTTGTGAAAACTTGTTTTAACCTTTGCTGGGGCAGTACGAAAAAATCATAGATTCATAGAGTAGCTGAGGTTGGAAGGGTTCTGGAGGGCTCTAGTGCAACTGCATTCTCAAAGTTGTGCCAACTAGACCAGGTTATTCAAGGCCTTATCCGCTGGATTTTAAGTATCTCTAAAGACAGACTCCACAGCTTCTCTGGGCAGCCTGCCCCAGTGACTGGTCACCCTCACTAGTGGTCAAACCCCATTACTTTGTTTATGTAAAGTTATCATTGTTATTAAACTTCCATGTAAACTCTTTTAAGTGGAACCAAACAAAATCAAGAGAAGGTTTTTTTTTTTCTTGTAATTTTTAAAAGGCCAGTATAGCTTCATTTCTTCTGCATATATTTGTCCTCTCTTTTAAGTGCTAGGAAAAAAAGCATTTTGAATGAGAATGATAATGCCAAGTCTGTATATGTAGATTCCTCTGAGCAAAGAAACTTAAATGTGGCCAAATTTTCAAAAGTGTGCTGTTCTGAATCCTCCTCTGAATTTAGATGAACTTAAAAAAAAACCACAACAAACTGGTGCTTTTATTTCGTAGTTGCTGTAACAGAGATCAAGGAGCCAGAAGACTTGCAGGGAAAATAAAGATGTGTTACAAGAATCCTCAAAATGAACTTTCTTGACCTAATCATGCTGTTGAAAATGTTGTGATTATTTTTGTAAGCTAACGTTATCTTTACTACTAATTCTTGCCTCTGTATTACCAGCCATTTTGTAAGTATGAATGCAAGTAGCTTTTCCAGTTAATCAGTTTTAGATGATTTGTTGAGGTTCTTCTAGCTACTACACAACAGGAACTTTCAAACATTGAAAATAAATTGGTAAACTTTGTATCATGCTTGTAGAGTAGTGTTGGTACACACATATGTATTCTTGTAATTTAAAAAACGAGTTGGAGGCTGAAGGATAGGGGAATTTAGTAGGTATTTTGCTGGTTAAGTGTGAGACTTATCTTTTGGAGGCCATAAAAAGTCACAAAGCTTATAATGGGAGAGGTCATAATTAAGGTATTTCAAAATGTTTTTTGTTTGCCCTACAGCTAATTTGTCTTTAAATTAAAGCCAGATTAGAGTTTATGACTACTCTAGGTTACTCTATGAAATGTCTGATTGCTAGGCCAAAAAAGTGTTTTTTTTTTAAAGGCCTATAAAGACAGCAGCTGTATTTCAAAGTATGGATAGACAATCTGAAGCAGAGAGACATTAGGAAAGGATGCCAGTACATCAGTTAATATAAGGCGGCTAACGGGACAGTTGATCTCAGCTTACAGCTGTTATCTTGCTAGTATGTTTTGGTTGGTGTTTTGATCCTCCCGCAACTGGGATGTGTACATGTGTATATAATGCATTATATTCTGATTGTGCCTGAATAGGTGGTGCAGGCGCGTGGTGTGGTGACAGCATTTCCTGATAATAAGGGGTTTATAACTTCAGATGTTTAATGGTTTGGAGGCACTGTACCTTCAGTATAAAGGACACATCAGAGACAGCCTATAATTACATGGCCTGAATTATTGTTTTTGCTTTTTAAGTACCTTCCAGATAAGGAAAAGAATAACAACGGAGATGCTGCAGTTTGTGGTGTTTATATAGAATATAGCTAGTTTCCTTAGTTATGCTTACTCTGAGGTTGCTTTTCCTACCATTGTCCAAAAATTACAATTTAAAGGACAACAGTCGCTGTCATCAAAAACTAGGATTAGCGATCGTGTACAGAAGCAGCTTGAGGCATTCAGGAAAGCCATAACATACAACAGTCTGATGAGTGCAGGAAGATAATCCTTCATCCCAAAGGTGTGGGCCAGCATGTTAAACAGTGGCAAAATTGTCTTAGCAAGAATGGAAATAAGCCTGCATCATCTACATGTCAGTGGTCAACAGTATATATGAACAAATGGTGTACTGTCAGTCTTGCAGTCAACACTTAACACTATAAGAAAATCCTTACAAAAGTATCTAGGTAATATTTAATTCTGTAAGTACATTCTAAATAATTCTTCTGGCTTTAACATAAATTAATCAGTGACTTTTTCATCTATAGTTTTGAGGTCACACAATTTCTGTCCAACATGCAAACTTTATACATAATATATGTAGGACAAAGTTGCCCAATGTCGTATTTCTCCCTTTCTGTAAGTTTTTCTGTAATTCCTAAAGTTGACTTTTTTGTGAGGCAGGGGAGGAAAAATGAATTTGAAGTTGCTGAGGATAAAAAAAAATTCTTTCTGTACCTTAGGTACAAATCTTTTAGAGTTAATCTAAGCACTGCTTCCTTTTTTATTTAGAATTCCTTTTTCAAGGCATAGTACAGAAATAATTGCTATTTGCATATATCTGTTATACAAAAACCTGGTATAGTCATGAAGTTAACCATCTGTTTTGGATTACATGACTTCGCTGAACATGAAATGGTAAACTGGTGATCATCATAATTCTGATGTTGTGATACAAATATTTATTGAATTGCCCTGCTCACTGAAATAGATGGGAATTAATCACCCAGGTACTTTTAAAGTTTTTGGTCATTAGTATTCTACTCCTTGTCAACAGTAGTTCAATGTCAATAGTATGTAATTCTGGTGTAAAACTATTTTCTGGGTTTAAAACAGAACCCTATATTGTTATGTTTTCACTTACGTTTTCATCCCATTAGTTTTTAACAAAGCCTGTTTTTTCACCTGTCAAAATAAATATGCATTGCGTACTTTTCTTCAGTGGACAAAGGCAGCATCAATATTAAAAACACACTTTCTGGTTTATTTCCTTAACTGATAGAATATTTGGTTATAACTTAAAATTGTTTTCCCAGTTACAAGTTTAAATTCTAGATTTATACATGAGTTCTTTCTACATTTAGCAGACACCAAAGCTGGAGATAAACAGAATGGTAGTAGCTTTGTGGCTGACAACTGTATGCTATTTAAAAATGCACATGCATAACTACCATCTCCAAACAGGATAAGAAATTACACTCAAAATGTGTAATTTCCTGTATGTTTGATGGAATCAGTCACTGAATCAACCAATTAAACACATGAAACTTCAACTATACATAGCATGTAAACTAATATAATAAATGTCAACTATATAAAATATCAGCTAGTTTTATTATGAAGGCACTTTTATTTAAAAGCAAAGCAGCATTAAAAGTAGATGCTGGGCTGGGTCCTTATTTGTTAGTGTTCATTCTGTATGTGTAAAGGAATCAAAAGTCATCTTACTCAAGCCTGAGGAAAATGAGAATGAGAAAACAATACACCCTCCTGCCTTCTGCCGTCCAAGGTGGGCAGCAAAATCAAATGCAGCAGGATTGTTGCTGTAATCAGTACTATGGTTACTTTAGGATGTATAAAACCAATTGTAACAGGTATAGCTGGAGGACTTACTAACTCCAAGAGGTGTGTAGCTAGAGAGTAAGGTAATACATTGGCAAAGGAACAAGCAAACCCTTAGGTTCATAACTGCTTGTCACCTTAGTGCAGTTTTTGGACGCTGTTCATCATGTAAGTTCAAGCAAATGTGACTGCAGTATAACATCTATGCAAATATAATACAGGATTCTATTGAAATACTTAATTTTCTAACTACTGAAATTGTCCATTTTCAGCAGATTCTGTTCCATTCTTTGAAACTGGTCATTTGTTTCTGGCACTTTACTGTTAGTGCCAATTCTTGCTCCTGTTGGAATTTTAAAAATACAGCCTCATTGAAGTTTTTGATTAACACACAAAAGCCTTTACATAAAGGGAAATCTTTTTTTTTTCCCCAATCAAAAAAAAAAGACTCTCAGAGCAGTTTTGTTATCTCACTTCTTTAGCAGCATCTAATTCCTCTTCATCCTCCTCCTCCTCCTCTTCCTCATCTTCATCTTCCTCCTCCTCCTCCTCTTCTTCATCTTTTCTTAGCATACTGCTGGAAATCTGCCAAGACAAAAATCCAACAAAAGTAAATCAAGTGTTTGTTCTCCTGAAAGAAAAACTCTTCTCTGGTGGCATTTCCACTCTTAAGTACTTGCAGGTTTTTCATGTAGGGGGAGTGGGGGAAAGCTGTTTATCCCTTAACCCTTCATCTTCTACTAACATGCACAATGCCAACAGAAAGATATATGGCACAGAATATAAACAGAGTAATGACTTTTTAAAAGCTAAAAAATCCCCATAGTCCTAAGAACTATTACAGGATAGGGAAAAACTATGCATTGATTGAATTAATATTAAAAAGGATGTTACCAGTTTTTTTTCTGGGCTGGCTGTTGAGACAGCAGGGTGAGGATGAGTTTTAAGGCATAATCTTATCTTGAAGACATCAAACCTCTTAAGTGAAAAATGAAAAACTCAACACTGCTGCTCTAAGCTGTTCTTGAGAATAAATTAGACAAACTTTACTAGACGAGTCTTGATTCATACATTAACTTCTTTCCCTGCCCATCAGTGCTTGCCCTGTAGAATGATACTGCAGTCCTTTTTTGGTTCATCGAATGTTAAAAACAAGTACCAGCTGCCAAGCTTTCATCTCCTCTGACAGATTCTGCCATCTATACTTTTTTCGAATGAGGGCTCAATCTAATTCCTATTGAAGATAGATTCTTCACAGAAGATGCAACACTTAGAATTTAGAGCAGAATATGTGTATGTTTTGTTCTTTCCCCAAAGATAGTTATCCAAGTCATCTGGAATGCTTTTGAAAAATGATTTTAGGTTCAATAATAAAACTTCAGTATTGGAGATAAAACTTGCTTTTTTTTTTTTTTTAAACAACCCCCTATTTTAAAAGTCCTTAAATGTTGGTTATTAAATTGAATTCTGAGATTTCATAATTCATACAGCTATGTATGTAATGGAAGTTTTTTGTGTGTGCATAAAGCAAACTGCAATCATTGAACTAATGAAAGGAGAAAAATCCTTAGTTTTGTTCATGCTCATAAAGTACATAATTTAGCTTGAAGGAAACGCTCACAAATTTCTGAGCATAACAGAAAATTGAGTTAATCACTGGATGAAGCTGGGTTAAATTGAGTCAAAATGCCTAACCCAGCAATCTTTCATTCTGTAAAAGAAGAAAAAGACAATGACACTGATTTGTAAGCTTGTGAAGGTAGCTTCATTTCAATGGATAGACTAATTTTCCAATTTTCTTTCAGTTAAGAGCGTCTGAAATTCTTGAGCAGAACTTCAGTCATATTTCTGAAGGAAAGCTCCCCCTTTCCTGAAATATCAGGTGCTGTTTTGGCTTTAAGGTGTTTTTCTGCTCACTACTCAAGTACATCTGACCATGTTGTAATTAACTAAATAGTAAATTAAATATTATCACTGGTGGCAGTGAGGTGGTGGCAAGATGGCTATCCTAAGAACCAAACTGGATCAGAGCAAGGAAACTGAGAAATGAAATAAGGCAGTTAAAATCCATGTTATTTTGCCATAAAGCTAGCACATACCAGTGCGTGAAAATTTGATTTTTGATTATTTAATGCTGAAAAAAAAATGAAAAATTTAATGGAATCTGATAATCTGTTGCTCATCATAATCAAATTTATGTGAAAATGAATTCTCTAGTTTGTACGTAGGTGATGACTGTCCTTTCTTAAGCTGTTAAGCTGCATGTTTCACTGCATGTGCTGCTACAGAAAGCATGGCAATTCTCTCCTTATGCCTTACACAGCGGGCAGTCTTGGAGCACCTTGATGCCGGCATTTTCAACCATGGTTGAAATGATACCTTGCTCTCTTAGAGGGCAAGTGTAAAACAGTTGGCAATAGTAAATGCATGTGGATAAAACCTGTGTCATTAACTTTGATTTAAAATACCTGGGAAAGGTCATTCTCTTCTCCTGTAGTTCTGTCTAAAATGTAGCATACCAACCTGAATCAGTAAAATGAAATGCTGAAAATAAATTGTCAAGTAAAGTGCAAAATGGAGGGATTTACAAAGGATTGTCATGAAAACTTACTTAGCCTTTTCAGAACTTACAAGTATCTGCAATAGGCACGTTTAAAAAAAGCCGTGAACACCTGAAGGGGTTTTCTCATAATGGGGAGCCACCCTATGAAAAACAGCTTTCCTGGTGCATAGAAGTTTTCTCTCCTGATCATATTAATTGCATAGAAGTGAAAAAATGCAAGTCTTGCTGTTGTACTGTCAGTGCAGCTTGGGACATTAATTCTGACAGGATTGCCCATCGCTCCTTTCCTTGTGGTTCTGCAGTACTGTCTGCTAAATGAAGTCTGGCAGGTAGGATGGAGAAACTAGCATCTCAACTGCTTCAGCTAGTCTGAATGTGAGTTGAAAACAACTATGAAAGTTAAGGGGGGAAGGAGCTGAGGGACAAAAGCATTAAGATGGACCTAAAAAATATCAGCAGTCTTCGCAAATTCCTGCTTTTGATAATTTAACGTACAATACTCCCTTCAGAATACTCACTCCAGGAGTAAGTGACAGGACGCACCTAGGCTATCGTGCTGCTTGACAAAGCAACATGACATCATGTTACGGCACTGGAACTTTAAAAGGAGGTAGCTCTTTGTGAAAAAATGAATCAAGCTCACGGAATACTTCAGATTTTTAATCTGGAAATAATACGGAAAGATAGTCCACAGAACCAAAAATAAATGTAAGGTTGGTCTGTGCTAAATCCTCTGAAAGACAAGTATTGTGTTACCAGCACAATTTATCCCATCTGGTATGCAGTGACTTCCCGCCCTCCACCTACAGGTAGTGTTTGTGTGTCTCTCTGCCCACCCGCAGTTTTAGTCTGTGTGATTCTGTGAACTGCTTACTTTAGTATTTATACTGCTTTAAATTGAAAATTCTGAAGTACTGTATTATGGTCAGTAAATGATTACTATGTGTATTATGAAACCGACTGGTGAAAACTTTTGGAGTGAAATATTGACAGAAAGGTAAAACAAGTCACTTGAAGTTTTTTCTGAATGCAGCATGTTTTGCTAGTGAGATGTTTGCTGGGTTCCAGAGATTAGAGCCCTTAGTGCAATTCAGGGTACTGACCCTGGTGCAGCATACTATTTGTAGAATCAGAAAGAGCACTGTGGGGGGTGTGCGGAACAGGGTGGCTGCCTCTTCTTTACTGCCCTATAGGGACTGCATTAGTAGGGTGTTCCACCCCTTTTTTCTGCCATGCGATTCTCCTCTGCAGATACACTGCATGGCCCAGTAAGATGGCATTATTTTGAAATGTATTGCAGTTTCCCTCTAAGTCTAGATGACTTCCTGTTCTTTTCAGATATTCCAGTGAGATGTTATGAGAACATTAACATCTGAAGTTACAGCTAAAAGAGAGGTCTAGAAGAGTAAGGTAAACTTGCAAGTTAGTGAACATGGAGTACTGCTCCATCTCTGAGAGAAATTGTAGTGTATATACATTTAGTTTTCTGGATTTTTTTGTTGTTTATTTTTGTGGGTTTTTTTGGTGTGTGTTTTTTTTTTTTTTTAAAGAGAGTCCAAAACAGCTATCTGTGGCACCTCAAAGTAATTACAGATGCTTCTATACCCTTGATACAGTTTTACAGCACTGTGGGAAGTTCTCAAGGAAGATGGCAACAGATTTTTTGACAGCTTCCTCTGGTCTTCAAAAAAAATGAATGGGTAAACATTTTCTATAGTAGCTTGAATGTGAAATTTTCTTGTTTAGAGGACAGGCAACTTATTCAAAGTCAAGGTCAGTCTTCATACACTGAATCACTGGGTTCTCTTATCTTTTCAGATGGCACAACTCCTACTTTCAACAACAGAATAACTCAACTGTAATAATTGATCTTTTCTGTGTTGAGAGCAGAGGAGGGGTAATGGTGTTTATGAACTCAAGAAAACTTTTTAGTATTACAATATTAATGCACGATTCTGTCCAAAGAAGAGGAGTGGAATGTGTACATTTTAAATTTGGCCATCTTTGTTTTTAACTGAAATACTGGTAGATTCATCTTAGTTACAGGATTAAGGCTGCAATAAAGTAATTTAGCCATTTTGCAGTGTCTGCAAGTTTACTGCTGCAAACAAGTGTCACAGATTTTTTGCAAGGTAGCCAGTTCAAAAGCAGGGGCGCTTTCTCGATCTGTTTCACATATTTTTATCACTCTTCCTCACCTGCTGTGAATTTTCAGAGTATAAACGGAAAGGTCTCTCAGGGGTCAGTACTGGGCCCAGTCTTGTTCAACTTCTTCATCAACGACCTGGATGAAGAGTTAGAATGTACCCTCAGCAAGTTTGCTGATGACACCAAACTGGGAGGTGTGGTAGATACACCAGAAGGCTGTTCTGCCATTCAGCGTGACCTGGATAGGCTGGACAGTTGGGCAGAGAGGAACATGATGAGGTTCAACAAAGGCAAATGCAGGGTCCTGCACATGGGGAGGAACAACCCCATGCATCAGTACAGGCTTGGGGTGGATTTGCTGGAGAGCAGCTCTGCGGAGAGGGACCTGGGTGTCCTGGTGGACAACAGGTTAACCACGAGCCAGCAGTGTGCCCTGGCTGCCAAGAAGGCCAATGGGAGCCTGGGGTGCATTAGGAGTCCTATGAGGAGAGGCTGAGGGAGCTGGGCTTGTTCAGCCTGAAGAAGAGAAGGCTGCGAGGGGACCTAATATTATACTTACAAATATCTGAAGGGTGGGGGTCAGGAGGATGGGGCCAAGCTCTTTTCAGTAGTGCCCAGCGACAGGACAAGGGGCAATGGGCACAAACTGAAGCACAGGAAGTTCCACCTGAACACGAGGAAGAACTTCTTCCCTCTGAGGGTGCCGGAGCACTGGAACAGGCTGCCCAGGGAGGTTGTGGAGTCTCCTTCTCTGGAGATACTCAAGACCGGCCTGGACAAGGTCCTCTACACTGCTTCGGCAGGAGGGTTGGACTAGATGACCCACAGAGGCCCCTTCCAACCCCTACCATTCTGTGATGCTGTCTGTTGGTCATGGGTTTGCTGTGCTGCTAGGAGGTACCAGTAGTTTGAGTTAGAATTGGTAGAGAATCCGTGCTCTAGGATCTGGCTACTGAGACTAAGAATGTGCAAGTGTTATATAAGGAATGTCACTTCTGTTTCAAATAAGCTCCTAGATCTTTTTTTGTGCAAGATGCCACAGTTTGTTGATCAAAGAAATAGTATCGGTGGAAATGTCATTTTTCAAAAGTAAACAATGCAGCTTTAAAGGCTGATTTTGGTTTTTCCGCAATTAAAAATGATATTTAGAAGCTGCATTATTAAAAGCTTAGTATGATCTTTGTGCCCCTGGAAGTCTCTTCACCTTTGTAACTGTCCTGAACTGAGTAAAGACAGTGGATTCATGTACACGTACATTAGCTAAGGCTCTACTTTAAGACATTTTTTTAATACAGTGATCTAGTATTTAATTTTTCTTTCTTACCGGTATTGTCCTCAATGAAGATTTTAGGGAGCCAGTTCTTTGCAGGGGGGACTTTGAATTTGCACGAACTATGTCTAAGCGAGATTGATAGTCTGGTGGATAAAGCGAGCTCCGAAAAACCTGTTCAGATGAAGAAAGCTGTGATTTGAGTGCCACGATACAGCTTGCAAGCCAACAATCACCAAGACTGAAGCTGACAAAAATGCAGCATTGGACAATTAAACCTGCTCTATATACTACATATGATACACATGTGATATACATATGATATACATGAGCTGTAGTTTGGATTGATCACTTTAGCTGAAACAATATCCTTGCTCAACCTGAGACATAGCAACACACTTACGTGGTCAAAGTAAACATTCTTCAGAGATCTGAGGGGATTTACAAGTGGAAAACTGCAGTGGTTTCCCACCAACATACAGAGCTGAGTTTCAAGCTAACCTACAGGTATGAACCCTGGCAACTTCCTTCAGGCTCTCCAATTCCTGGAGAGATGAACTCGGCCTCTTCACAAACAAATCCTTGCTGCCAGTCACAGCTGTATCAGAGAAATCTTACCTGAAATGTCAAGAGATGTGCAGCTCAAGAAAAATTTGGGAAAACCCCTTAAAATACAGAGGAGACTGTAATACCCGTTATATTTGCAAGTTCATTCCAATAGCCAGAAAGAGTAAATTACAAGACTAACAGCCTGATACTAAAAATAATAAAGCTATTTGTGCAAGACTATTAATAAAGGAAGATGGAAATGAGAATAGAAATTTGGTTGTGAAAGATAAAGTATTGACTTAAAGGGTATTTTTGAATTTGTACCACGTGATATTTTAATTGTGAAACTAGACTAGTACAAAATTGCCATGGTGTAGTTTAAATGAAGTAAAAATACCAAGTAGTCTCAAATGTGACTATCACTGAAGAATCACGGTTTTATATGTCTTGTGCTAACTGAATACTGCCATCTTTGTTCCTCAGCTATGTCATGGAAAAAATAAAATTAGGACTGATTGATAAGATTTACAGAAAAAAGGCTGATTCAGCTTTCTTGACAAGCTGAACACATATATACATTTCGATGATAGTAAGTTTAGAGGCCCAACATACAGAAGAACTGCAAGACTGAATACGGGACTGAAAAACATGACTCGGGAAAGAGACACTGTAACTCAAAGAGAACAGAAAGGGTGACTTAAAAGGAAGCTGTAACTGCCACAAGGCAAAAAGAAGCATTTTGGTAACAAATGTCTCAACTCTAGGACAGTAAACAAAACTCAGAAGAGTGAGATTTTTAATGAAGTAATTAGTTATTAGAACATCTTATCAGAGTAGGGTAAGATTTTTCCTTACTGTGCATCTTTACAGTGAGATTCACTGCAGAGGTGTTCTTTAAGAACTAAGATTAGCTGAGTTTGGAGTGGCAGTTAATTGAGGTAAAGTCTCTTATCTGTATTTTGTGGGAAAGATTAGATTGCCAGTGCTGTTCTTCTCTGGTTTAAAAATCTCTTGAGTTTATAAACCTGCACGCTCTTGCTCGAGAAGTGCAGAAAAGGGCTTGTTATGCATAAGAAGTTTGTTCTGGGAACCTTAAACCTGTGCTGCATTTTCTGCCTGGGACATGTCTAGCCCCGAAGTGTGAAAACTGTTTTTATGTAGTAAGTCAATTGAAAAGCAAATCTTAATCCTCTTACCTCTAAATCTTCGTTTTCATCAATATTTTGGATATTTTGGTAGGCAGCAGTATATATCTCTAAAGCTTTCCCATGGAATAACATTTCAATAGTTATAAATTCAGAAAATACGTTCTAAAAGCAAATGAAGACAGACGTTTTCTTACTGCAGTAAAGTATATTTCCACTTCAAATACAAGAAATTACTGAACTCTGTACTTGGCATTTACATGATACAAGTAACTGCACAACACCTAGTACTTTTAAGTAATCAGACCTGAATTTTAGAAATTAAACATAAATGCTGGCTGGGCTGTCACTTAGAATTCAGTATGAAATGACAACTGCCTAAGTATACTCTTAAAATTGAAGAGGAGACTCGTTAGGAATAAATAAAGTGTGACACTAAAAACTCACTTGATACTCCCCGATATGTATTTGCAAGATGTAGTCAGTGAGTTTTTGCTTTACCAATGGCAATCTTTTTTAACAGGCTGGGAATAAATCATCTGTAAATTCTACACATATCTAGATTACAGATAATTAAGTATTTTATATAATAAAATATTATTAGATATAAAACTCCACTTAATGATGACATATTCAGAACTCACAATCTTTTTCATATTACTCTAACATCAAGTACTGGTCGGTGTGGTTGGATTTTTCAACCATCTTTCATTCTTTCTGATTTAGTCTGTTTGGTCCTGTCCCCCCACCCCCAATAAAAAAAAAGTATCTCACTTCAGCAATTTTATAATTAAATTTGAGATCACATAATGTGTTTTTCAGTCACTGTAGTCTTTGGGACTTAAGCCACTTAATGATTGAAATTAAGAGAGAAATGAAAGCTTTGATTACTTGCAGTCACTGAACATTTGGTGCTTTTTGCATCAGTAAAACTTTTAAACTGCAGTAATCTACACAAATTTCAGCATGGGTAAATATATTGTTTACTTATCACTATTTCTGTTAATTTGCTGATATTAATCCACATACATCATTCCACTAACAAATGCAGCTACCAGTGAAGTAGAATACAGCAACTGTTGGAAGGTGCGGATGCCAAACGATCTGATACAGGAAAATTCTGAATTCAATAAACTGTAAGAATAATGAGCTGATTTTTAATTGCAAAGTTCATGATATTTGGATTATGAATCGTGAATGCCACAAGATTTGTATTTATGTAGGCTTAAGTTAATACTAAATATTGCTAATCTTGCCAAAGAGTAACTAGTAATTTTATTAGGCAAGATGAAACGACTGAAATCTGAGCACACTTACTTTTATGTCCTTTATTTTCTGTTTCTCAAAGTTATCAATAGTTTCCTCTAATTGCCGAGTTGTTCGAGTTGCATCCAGTGAAGCTCTCTGCAATTCACTTTCAGCCTGGTAAAGTAATACAAAGGTGAAATTAGTCCTGTATTTGATAGAAAGATATTTGCTTTAATTGCCATGAAAACGTTTAAGTCTGGGTTTTCAAAATATTACATATCTGTGTTACTGTACTTGTAAATTTGGTTATAGCTTAATAAACAAATAAAGATGCCTTCCACACTATTGCGACTCTGATCTGAAACATGAAAAGTGACTAGCTGCAGCCAATCTGGAAAGTCCCACTGCCCCAATCCATCTGCTGTTAGACTCATCTGCTAATTCCACTGAGCCAGCCCTGACACTGCTGATGACACAGTGACTGGGTTCAGGGAGTTAACCCAGCACAAGGGTTTACCCTTCAGAAAAGTTAACTTTTTTTTTACACTGGTGTAAAGGAGAGGGCAGGAGTGCACAGGCCAGACTGGTGGATGAGCGGAAGAGATCACCCTTTATTTTGAAGTGCAGATCAACCTGCCGGGTCTAGAACGAATCTTTTCCAGTGTCATCTGCTGACCCTCGTCTTTTTAAGTTTTTATAGCGTCTGAACCTGGTCTTTTTAAGTTTTTATAAATTATTTAAATAGACAGTAGAGTAGCAGCTGGAACCACCACACTTCTCCCATAAGTATCTCAATCAGCAGACTAGAGTTAATGGCATTTTTAGATCCAAAAGATTTCAGGTGTTTTATATTTTTAGTATGTTACTAAAATATTTCATTAAAAAAATCTTCAACAGAGCACTGGGAAAGGGACATACCAATCAATCCCTAATGCATAAATACACAGTTTTCTTATTTTGTTGCTACAGAAAGCATTTTAGATACGTATTTTCATTAAATATAACCATGAACTGTATAAAAATGCACACTACCATTTAAATAAAATACTGAAGCTATTCAGGTTAAGCAAAGTCTGAGGACTATGTACTATTACAAAATAATGATGTGAAGATTTAAGAGCTTGCACTTGAAGACTGCAAAATCTGAGCCTAAACTTGTTTTCCACACATTACTGGTCAAACATCATAGGCTAGTCAAGACTGTATTTACTTACAGGCTCCGTCAGAGAGTATCATCAGGAATCTATTCTGTCCTGGATTTGGAAATAGTATATGGATCAAGTAATTGTATCCTATGATCACGACATAGGATTCTTCCCATTTCTACAACACTGTGACTTAGAAATGATTTTTTTTTTTTTTAATGGAAATAGACACCACAGGCCCAATTCCCATGATCTAGTTTTTAGTGTTACACGTATATGGAAAACTAATGCATAAGGCATGCTCTGTCACTTATTTTTCTTTGATTAAAATCTGGTAGCCTTATAGTACAGTTTGAAACAATCTCCTTACAAAAATGGTTTAAAGTCATATAAACAATTCTGCCATTACTGGGGAAACAAAATTGGTAGTGATCTTTAGTAGTACATAAGGTCACGTGTTCATCTCCCTTTCTTGATTTTGCCCAAAACACAGGAGGGAAACAGAGTAAGAAAAGACATTTTGTGTATTCTCAATTATTAGTCAGTCACTCTCTGTAAATGAAGGCAGCTGTAATGCACAAGCAGGCATTACACATGCAAATACAGTATGTTACTTCTATCATAATCAGATATATCTTCCTGATTAATCTTAAGCAGACTGGCTACATTTTGTGCACAGATACTTTGGGAAAGGAATTTTGTTTGTTGCAGAGTGAAATGTCTAAACTTGCAGAACCTGCGTAGTTTGCAGAACAGCGGTTTGATGTTTTGTCTTCTAAAACACTCACCTGTGACTGGAAATATTAGTAAAGGAAAAAATGGCAAAATAGCAATTGTTATTCATAAAAGTATCTGTTTTCACTTTGACTTTTAATATATTGTGAAGTATTTACGTCAGATATTTCAAAACTTCTGTATACTTGGAGGGTACTATTACGCTGTCTGAAACTTCCTGCTGTAGGACATTACTTAGCATTTGCTACAGCTTTGCTAGAATTCAAGTATCCAGGCCAAAATATTTCAGGACAGCTATTTGTCTTAGACTGAGGGATTGGATATTTATTTATTTTTTACATATATATATTTATATATGTGTATATGTATATAAAATCATCAGACAACCCAAGTAGCCCATTTCAGGGGAAAAAAAAAAAAAATTGGATTTTAAAAAATGCTCCCAATACTTTTTAAGCATTTTGTGCTGATCACTTTAAAATGCAAATATGTAGTGTTTGGTGCCTTTGCCCATATGCAAAACCAGAATGTACTGAGATTCAATAACTCTTCAGGCAAAGCCTTAAGTATAGAAAACACAGGTGTTACAAGAAGCTAGGCCACAGAAGGATATTTGGGAGTAGCTTAGCAAAGACACAAGAAGCAGCAAGCTAGGTGCCAGCCATATACCCATGAAATCAACTGGGAATTAGTGCAGCAGGGAGAATAATGGGACCAGTCTCCCTTTGGGGAGAATACCTTACTATTATAATTTATTCCCTCAATTCTAATGCAAAAGAACTCTGCATCACAGCTCAAGTTCTAACCCTATGGCTGACATCCGTATGGATACGTGAGGAACTCTAATTAGCCATCACTTGATTTAACTGATTTGATTAATATTAAATGGGAATTCTTTGGCAGAGACAAAAATAAAACGTAATTCTCCTGGGTGGCATTTGACCAGCACATTTTTTTTCACTCTTTCTGCAATCCCATGCCACAGTCACTAGAAAGATCCTAATTTCTGAAATAAAGTTGATGAAATCCCAACAAAGAATAGGTTGGTCTGCTTCACTCCTGAGTGCAATGCTAAAGTGTAAGAAAAAATAAACAGCATGTCATAATGAACTTAAATGCTGTATTATAATACATAGGCATAAAGGGACTGAAGCAGGATTGCCTTTTTCCCCTTTTTTTTTTTTTTTTTTGGCATTTCCTAGATTCTGATTGCTTCAGAATTTAAAACTTCATTGAGATTTTAATGGAAATTCTGCGGAGGCTTAATTTTTCCCTCTGTGCTACAGAACAGTATACGGGGGAGGGTCACTGGTCTTTTGAAAGGAAGAGTAGTCTGGTTGAATACCAAATACTTTGTAGTTTCTTTTCAATCAAAAAGGGAGTGAGTAACAAAGCAGCTATTATAAGCTGTAACTCATCACCAAGTTTAAGAAAAGATTCAATATCAACATAGGCAACAGTCCCTCTAAAGCACATTTTTCTCTTACTACTTTCTAAATACAATAGTTTAATTCCTGAGAAATTCTAAAAATATTTCTTATAGCCACTGGAAATACAGGATACAATAATGTGTCGATCTGATGGATTCCGCTGACGTGTCTTTTCCAGTTGAGATAATTGCTTGGCTTCTCGGTTCTTTGCTGTTAAAGTTGCTTTAAGATCATCCTGGAAATAAAATGTTTTAGACATGTCTGAAATAGATCTAGGATAATAGGTTTAGGGTAACAGAAAATGCCCTTCTCTTCATACATGCATTGCCTAGAAAATACGAACAAAACTGCTTTAAACAAAACCAGATTTTACTGAGTTTATCCTTTTAAATGATCCCCTGAGGAAGTAGTCAATGCGGACTAAGAGAGTTTAGCACCTTGCCCAAGCCTCTGTAGCACACACTATAATTTAACATGTGGGGGAAAAAGATATTTACGGCTTTTCATGAAAGGTATAGCAGATGGTCAAAAGCTGAGATCTCCAAAGCAGTAAGAAGACAGGCCCATTCTGGACTTAGCAATGGAATAAAGGTGGCATTTGAACTAGAAAGCATCATCAAAGAAATCAGTAAGAAAGAAAACCCAAAAAGGCAGCAGTCAGTACCAATCAGAAGTTATGAAGAACAAAACTGCTACACAGAGCTTAAGGTGCCATAGAAAATCTATGGCTGAAGGGGTTAAACTGCATATTTATATATTAATATTCATATATTTATATATGCAGTTAAGGTGTTTAAATATATTTGGAACAAAATACATCCTAGTAATCATGTAGCTGGAGAACATGAAACTCACTGATCTAGAAAAGGCAGAAACTGTTGATAAATATTTTTGCTCGTCATTTCCAAAGGAGAAGTAGGATGCATTTTAGGAACATCTGTGACAATTTGTTGTCATACCATGGCAATATGTTTACATACCACTCTAAAATGCTTGTTCATGCTATGAAACTGTATTTTGCAAATAGTTTGGCATACATGGAATCTAAAACTGTAAGTCAGATATTTATCACTCCATTGACCCTGGTATGGGAAATGACATTAATTTTGATGGCTGCAATGTAAAGGAGCAGTACCTTAGAATGAGCACAAATACAGCCCAAAGGAATCAGCGTAACGAAATCTGAAGCAGGAGTTGGGCATGCATTTCAAACCATCATTTCCTCTAAAAAGAGCAGTTCCCATTTATCTACCACTCCAGAACAGAGTGGATTAAAGCTATTAAAAACTGTCATCTGGGGAAGTTGTCTGTGCTCTTTCCCTGGATTTCAGAATTTCAACATGGCTGTAGGTTTCCTTCACCCAGAAAGGCAGGCAACCAAGAATGCGTCTCTTCCAAAGTTCTGTGATCCTGTGATCAGATTACCAGTCAAGGACAAGCATAAGCGTGCCAAGGTTCAGAGAGCTCTTGTTTTCAACGAGTCTGTACATAAGGCCAGGAGCAAAACATGCAGTTTCTTCCTTGTTTCTATCCTTACTGTCTGTTTGTATGTCTGTGGATATATGACTGTCATTTTGCTTCATTTTTAGGGACACACAGCTGGTTTCTGATAATAAAAACTGCATTTCTAGCCCATGCTGCTGTTTGTTCAAAAAAGAGTTTACACCACCTTTAAGGCCATCTGAAAGACTGCTGGAAAGAGCCTTCTCCTTTATGAAAACCATGCAGCTGCAAGAAAAAGCAGTAATAGAAAAAACTTTCTAATGCTTTACATTTTAAATTTTAAATTAAAAGTAGAGAAAGAGAATAGAAAAACATTTATTTTTGCCATAGAACAAAGCAGTTTTGTATCTAATGGTCACAGCTGCTTATTTAGTGTTATTTAATGACTCCACCCTGTTAACAGCACTAGGCCCATTTAAAATAGTCCGATTTAACGCTGTGGCTGAAAGGGTCCTGACTTTCGTGCAAAGTATACTTGAGAACGTCATGAAACCCCAAAAGTTACCATAATAAAATTCAGTATTTTCTTCCTAGCACATAGTGACTTTGGAAATGCTTACAGGGACTGCACTGTTCCCTTGTCTACCTCTGTTCTCTGTGGCAACAACACCCATCGTACTTCTCTGTGCTGGCCAAAGCCTGACAAAGGTTTGGTGCTACTGTACCTGTAGTGGTGGAGCTATATACAAGTATTGGATGTACAAAGATAAGGGCACAGTTACATATGTATTTTGTCAAGGATGTTGAAAAACTGAAAAGGGTGCAGAAAAAAAATATTTTAAAAATATTCAAAATCTGGGGAAAATGCCATTATGGTGAAAGAATTAAGGTCTACATTTTTAGCTAACTGAAAGGAATGAAAAATGGTGCTTACTAGCTTCTAAATACCTTCATTCAGAAGAAAAACAGAGCATCCCAGAGTTCTTTAATCTCAGTGGAACATACAAGACCCAAAGATTAGGTGAAGTCTTTCATTTGAAACAAAACACCACAAACATCAACTAACCACTAACTACCACATACAGTCCTACATTCCTCTCCAGCATCTTCAGACCAAGATTTGATGCGTTTTTGGAAAACATGCTTTAATTACACCCAAGGAGAAGAGAAATGGAATGGAATGGAATGGAATGGAATGGAATGGAATGGAATGGAATAGCCAGTGAGATAACGGACAGATACAGAGAATATAAAGTTATTCATAGTCCCTCTGGCTTTCAACTATGAATTCAAGTCACACATAAGAACTTTGGTCAGCCATCTAATTTCAAACCATACAGAAGTACAGCTACAGTTCATCCACCAGACAACAAGCCAGCAGATCTGCATCACTGTACTGTTACCTGCTGTAGTCACTGAAGTTATTAAAGCAAACCAGTCCTTTCTTCTGCAGGTGGATCACCTTGGTTTTATGATGTTCTGTATTATATGAAGAAAAGGAACCAGGAACAAAGTTGCCAAAAAGCAGAGAAGTGAAGATTGATATATAGAACAATGACGCAGAAAGAAAACGCTAAAATCCTACACTGAAGCTGCATTACAGGACAAGAATATTACACTAGCTTCCAGTGAAGCTGCCAAGTCCTGCCCCAGAGAGCTACTCGGCATAGTAAACCAGGACTTGTGAATGGAACAATTTTATTGCATTAGCAGTTTAAGGACAACACTGTTCTGATTGACCCAGGTATCTTTAAAGCATTTAGTATCACAGGACGCTGACATCTTACCAGACAGAAACAGCAACAGTTCTTTCCAGATACTGCAAAAAAATAGTTTGTGTACACCCTGGAACAGATCTAACAAGCAGCAGTGAGAACATCCCCTTTATAGAAAGTGCTATAATGACATATTCTGCCCAGTTTTACTTCATCTGCTAATTGAGTTACAGGTAAAGCAGTCCTACAGCTAGCACTGTGAGCTACCTTTACATGAGTGACAGAACTTCCTTCTTCACTAAAAATGTCCCAGTGTTTAGAGATGACAAATGAAGACCAGACAGCTAAAGTTTTAACCATGGTTATGGTACTTAGCGGTGGGTGTGTGGGGAATAATCATTTAATATCCTACATCTTTACTGAAGTCTCTCTCAGTTCAAACGTACGTTGATAGAATAGATAATCCCATCTACAGTTTAAGAATGCTCTTGTACTCCTCACTGTAGCTAAGATAAACATTATGTAATGCTTTCTGGCATTATCAGTGGCAAAGACAACAGGACATGCCATTCACTGTTGCAAGGGATGACCTGGCTTCAGTTCATGCTGTTCTCAGCATCTCCTGGCTATCAGTGGCAATGCACCTCAGGACAGTATCTTGAATGCTTTGGAAGCCCCAAGCACTGCTGCAGTGCTCTATGTCTCCTCAGCAACTCTGCGGAAACGAACACATGAAACTTGTCTGCCACCCTCAAGTTAGTTCCAGGTCTCACAAACTGGGTTTCAGAGTGACTATTAAGATACCAAATTCTTGGATACAGGCTCTATGGTCTACAAGTCTGCTAAGGACTACCAGGTGTAGTACCACTCCAGTGCAGGATGCATGTCCTTCATAATTGTTTCTTTGACAACCAAGTGAGATAGCTGTGCAGTAAGTTCTGAACACCGTACTCCACTTCTTCACCATATTGAAAAGATACAAGAACAAAAACATACGAAAAATTATAGAATCATAGGTTGGAAAAAGACCTCTAAGATCATCAAGTCCAACCATCAACCCACCACCACCATGCCAACTAAACCATGTGCTGAAGTGCCACATCTACATGTTTTTTTGAACACCTCCAGTGATGGTGACTCCACCACTTCCCTGGGCAGCCTGTTCCAATGCCTGACCACTCTTTCAGTAACGAAATTTTTCATGATATCCAATGTAAACCTCCCCTGACGCAACTTGAGGCCATTGCCTCTCGTCCTATCACTAGTTACTAGGAAGAAGATGCTTCAGTCTGAGATGCAGTGGCACAATCTACTCAAATTAACCATGATGAACATGCTGTAAGACATTTGTACATAAAATAACATCAAATAATGATCATTTTACCTTTCAATTTATGTACATTATGATACAGATATATACATCAATTACAAAATTTGTGTTTACAGGATGAAGGTAATCCCTATATAATACATATATAATATACAAATATTACAAAGAACTGTTTTCATCCTATAAACTAATAACTGCTTATTAAAATTTACTTGCTCAAGCTATCTCTCTTGAAGGATAAAAAATTACAGATATTTTGTGGGAATATATCAAATTTCTATATAAACGGTTGCAGAACACAGTGAACGAAGAGACCTCAGTTTTTTGTGTATCTTCAGGTCACCCTGATGACTTTACAGGACAGAGAGGGATTCAGGCCACTACCTGTTTATCAGTTTCAAAAAGTGTCTTCTACATTATGAACTTCAATGAGGAATACAATTCTAAGTTAGAAAAGCTGTTAACAGCAGTGTATAGGTGACTAAGAGCCAAAAGCATCATGTGTAATTCACCTTTTGGAACTCTGAATAGTAATAATAATAAAAGAATGACATTATTTATAAACAGCCTGAATTTGCACTCTGCAGGAAGTTTCACACTATCCACAATGCCTTTTTTTAGCATGTGCTTGTGCTCCAAGAATCTGAATATCCTTGTCTTCACATCAAAGCTTTTTCCTCCAACATACATACAGCTTCAAGTCAGATGTATTACTATATAATTTAGTTAGATTAATTACTGCAGTATGAAAAATAAGAACCACTCCCCCCTGCAAAGTAGAAGTTTTCAACTGAGTGGCCAGAACACCAAAATGTACCTTGTGACAAAACAGACATTTAACCTACCCTTTTAAGTTTCACTATGGTCCCGTAACTTTTCAGAGGTTCAACAACCTTGGCTTCAAGCCTGTCAACCTACAAAAGAAATCACAAGGTCACTAAAATCGTCTGCATCTACGATGTGCAGAAACAGGAAACAATTCATTTACTATTGACTCATCTTATTAGGAATTTAGTCCATATATGCTGAAAATATAGTGGGATGGTAGTTTTAAAAATATTGCAAAAACCAGAGTCAATTAAATTAACCAGTAAATCATTTGTATTTTGAGGAGCTCAAGCCAATTTCTAGTGGAATTCCTTCTTCTTTATTGGTAATACATCAGGATAAATAAAACATGGAGATTCTAACAATGGAGTACTAAATACATCAAACACTGCATCTTGGAGATCTGTAGCTTTCTATCTAAAGGTCAATGTCTTTTGTCTACACTTGTTGATAGATTACAGACTAAGCCATCTTTGCTATCAAACATACTGTATGAAATGCCACACTTCCATTTTCAAAAATAATGGAAATAGCATCATAGATACTGAAAATATTAAAAATACCAACAACAGGTTGTGTAAAATGCATGAATGCTCTCACAGATGAATCACAGAATCACAGAATGTTCGAGGTTGGAAAGGACCTCTGTGGGTCATCTAGTCCAACCCCCCTGCCGAAGCACGGTCACCTAGAGCAGGCTGCACAGGACCTTGTCCAGGCAGGTCTTGAGTATCTCCAGAGAAGGAGACTCCACAACCTCCCTGGGCAGCCTGTTCCAGTGCTCCGGCACCCTCAGAGTGAAGAAGTTCTTCCTCACATTCAGATGGAACTTCCTGTGCTTCAGTTTGTGCCCATTGTCCCTTGTCCTGTCACTGGGCACCACTGAAAAGAGCTTGGCCCCATCCTCCTGACCCCCACCCTTCAGATATTTGTAAGTATAATATTAGGTCCCCTCGCAGCCTTCTCTTCTTCAGGCTGAACAAGCCCAGCTCCCTCAGCCTCTCCTCATAGGAGAGATGCTCCAGTCCCCTCATCATTTTTGTTTCAGTTCTTCTAGTTAGAAAAACAGCTACATATGGTCAGACAGGCAATAGGATAAGACCTGCCTGCTTGTCAAAATTGGCAATACTGCCCAAGTGGCCCCAGCATAAGCTGCCGATGACTTTGGAGCAGTGAGACATCTGGCCCATCACTGTTATTTCCACATTAGGACAAAATACATACCTTTATTAGGAAAGGACAGACGTGACAAGCCCCGCTAAACTGGCATTCACCAGTCAGTCAAAATCTATGCCAACTGGGCAAACATATCCCTTACTATACCTTACCAGTGCACTGTCAAACAATTTCACTTAAAATACTGATACAACAGAATGAAATAGGGCAGTAAGGCTCTAAATGAAGCACATGATACAGACATACCAAATAACCTGCCTGTCTTGCTTACCCTTCCACATGTTGGGGAAGTACCTCACACCTCAGCATTTATGTATCTAGCACTGCAGCTGAAGACCAGAAATCGATCACCCGTATAAGCTAATTTTCTCTTGGCCACATTGTAAATATATATGAAAACTGTTAATTAACCTGATGCCTAGAAGAAATAAAGCTGAGATTATCTATTTGGTTTTCATGAGCAAATGAGAACTTGATTTAAAGGCTAAAAGCTTCTCTCTTCCTTTGCTTCTTCTGCCTTTTCTCCTTCAAAGGGCAGTGGTGGTTTGGGGACAGGGATAGTAGAAGGATGTAGGCGAAGTGCCAGTTTTTAAAAACACACTTAAAAATCGAAAGAAGCAAAACTCAAGTTGTTACGTAGGTACTTTGAAATTACAGATTCATAGTTTAAACGTGAAAATGGACAGAGAGATCATGCGGTCTGACTTCACTTACACTCCTGGCCATAATATAAATTTACCCTGTTAACAGAGGGATAAATTGCTGTTACGTTAGTTGAAGCGTAAGGACCTATGTGTGGCTCAGCTGGAGCCAGATGCATAAGAGCTTATGGAAAAAAAAAAAAAAATCACCCTATCCACACTCTTGGATTTCTTATTACTTCTTAAAAATCTGGCCCTAAATACACTGTTAAATATCCATGCCTATGCCTTGTTTTTCAAACCCTCTACTTAGTAGACTAGACACCTCATAGATTATCTTCTTTTAAAAGGTTTTCTTTTTCTACTTTGTTAATATAGAAAGACGACTTGCAATGGTGCTTTTTTTTTTAAAAAAAAGTCCCATCTGAAAACATCAAGAATGTCAACTATTTCAGTCTCTTTTTAAAATTATAATGCTGCTTACATTTTCAAAACTATAAATGGGAATTTTCTATGCCCTACTGAAAGAATAGGTATGTACTCCAAAAACTAGTTTGAGTACATGTGAATGAATTTATTTTTTCTATAATCTCAGCATTTGGAATACTAGATCATAGTTACAGTTTGACTGGCCCCCCACACAGATGTGCAAGTGCCACAGACACCTTTCTTTACTCACTTACCTAGCAGAAATGTGACTATATTGTCACACATGGTCCAAATCAAGTGTGTACTTTTAGTGTTGAACCACAGACTTCTGAAATCTACAGTGGTCCCTGACAGCACCTCAGAGGGGCTCAGTGCCCAATGAAGGATTCCAGTTAGTATTCTCTTCCATACTGCTTCTGATAATGGACTCGGCAAAAGGAAAATGACTGATTTTACCTGAGCTGCTGCTAGGCAACTCAAGTCACAAAACTAAAAGAACGCTTTATTAACAATAAATCATAATCCAAAGTCTAAGACCAGTAAGAGACTTGGTCTGTCTCAAATTCTGTGAGTGCTCACACGGATAGTTTCACTGAGTTCAACAGGACTAAGCACAGGCAGTTTTCACTGAAGTTATTAGCAGAGTAAATGATGAATGCTTTGGCAGCCTATCCTGCTCCACCACTAATATATTTAAAAGTGTTTTCTCCTATGTTTCTCTCATGATTGCAGAGTATCTCTTTTCCCTTTTAATCACAGATAAGTAACTGAAAAGTTCAGATGGCAAACACAACATGTACAGCTTTAATTTTGTACCTCTGCCTGGCGATAATCCTGAAGTCTGGAAAATTCATCTGCAAAGTTTTTCAGTCCAACTTTTAGATTTGGTGTCTCTGTGGCTGCATATGCATATATTTCATTTACTAGAAGATCTGCTTTGTCTCGTAGTCTGGCAGTTTTTCGTACATATCCAGCAAATATTTGGCACAATTCACCAAAATGTTTTTCCACATTTGAAACGGCATCTTGTATTTGTCTAGTCTGATTGTCCCTGGATACCAAAGAAAAATAAGTGAAAAATAAGAAGGGGACAAATGTTTATAACACATACAGAAGAAAAACTGTGTAATTGTCCTAGTAATAATTTATACGTGACGTTAAGATCTCTTTCAGTGCAAAACAGAATTCTATTCTTAAAAAGATAATGTGTCTGATGTAATATGTGACTATTTATGAATAAATAACAAACAAAAAAGTAGGATTTATACTTTAAAATAAAGATCAAATTGAGGAAAACCCCAATCACAAAAATCAGGTTGGAAGTTCTCCTTCTGTGGTAAAGCAGAAGCTCACTATTACTGTTGGTATTAATTAGGAACAGAGTGGTGTTAATCAAGCCTCTTGGGTCATTGTCATGACTCCTGGGTACTGCGCAGAGAACTGAAAAAGCTCACCTCCCCCTACCCACCACGTGGGACTGGACAGGGTCATACAGCTGCCTGCAAGAGTCTGCAAGCTAAACAGACAAGCCAAAGCCATTCAGGCAGTAGAAGGCAAATCTGTAAAGGTATTAAATGTTCTTTAAATTGTGAACAGGGACCAATCTGCTCCTGGTCAGCACTACAGAGGATAAATATCCCCAAGAATTAAGAGAAGAAAAGTGAATGGACACAAGTACAGAGGTGAAAACTCTAAAAAAGGACATGCATCATACCAACAAACTATTTTTTTTTTAAATTATATTAATTTAATTAATTTTTTATTTGAACCAAATGCCAGTACATTTCATGATTAATGATCTAGATAAGTCACTCTGAATTTTTAATTCATATATTTCACTTGATTTTGCTTTCCTATTTCTGCATAATTTGAAGGACTTGCTTTGGTTATGCTTCAGTGATACTATTAAACCAAATCAGCGTCAGTGACTTCATGCCAGTTGTTGATCTGACTGAATCAACTACAGGACAATTTAGCTAACAGCAACTGCCAGATACTGTCTCCTAAGAAGTCTCCATGGTCTACATGAGGTGATTCGTGTGAAGTGCTGGAATTTTCAGCAAGAGAATTCACTCCTACCACGGTCTTGGTGAGGGACAGAAACGAAAACTTCCTTTGTATCGTTAAGCTATCCCAACTCCAAACACTGCTCAATATTTAAATATTGGCTTAATAGCACAAAACATGAAACTCAAAAAAAATGGAAGAAATTTAATACATCAAGACTAAGCAACAATGCAGTCAATTCAAATGAAGAACACCTTTCTTCAGGAACACATCAGGAAAAATATTTCAGGCCAAAGTTCTGCTATGGGCAAAAACCCAGTTGTGTTGCTTCATGGCAAGCTGTCTACAAGACTGCTCCGAAAAAATTTTGTTCAAAGAAAAAAAAATTCCAAGTTGTTCATTCCTCCAGGACATGCTTGAGCATAGACCTATTTGAATAGGGAAAGCTTCACCCAGTAAGCGGGAAAGTAAGAGTCTCAGTAAGTAGTAATAAAGTTGTCTTTCCAAATTAATACTGTCTGATAAATTCTTCAGTAAAAGGTACACCTTTCCCATTGCATTGGGAGGTCTTCATGTCAGCAAGTGTTCCTCTCCCAAGGGGAAGCTTTGAGCACGTTTCATCACGCACTTCACAATTTTGATCTTGCAGTACTCTCATACAAGTAAAATTTAATTTGGGGACATGAAACACTACATTTCCTTAGATGGCGGTGTTAAAAGTTCCCCCCCCTCTAATTATTTGTGACCGCTTAGAGGCGGCCAAAAAATTATGAGAGGCCTGATAAGATCAGCAGGACTGTACTCGGTCCCTGCACAGCACACCCAGCCTACGGGAAGTTTTGCGGCCTTTCCGTGAGGCAGTCAGAGGCGGACCCCCGCCCGCAGGGAGGTGAGCTGCCTGAAGGGGGACGGCGCCCAGGCCCGGGCGCGG